CTTTATGATTCGTGAGCGTTCACTCAGAGTGAGCGCTCGCGAGTCGTAAAATCTCTAATTGTGACTATCTGAAAGCGAATTTGACAGGTTTCATGTGTCAAACACTTGCATTTCAACCTCTTTTTGTATCTAACAAGTACAAAATATCATTATAACATCTAATGATTTCAAAATTCAGAAAATCATGTTTTTATAGCAAGTGAGTGGAAGCAAGCCTGCATCCGAGTTTCACGAAAGTTTCTTCAAATTTTTGCCAGAAGATTCTTATTATAGGGGAAATAGCTCTAATGTTGGCCTATGGATCTAAGATTGGGCCCATCTATAAAAATCTGCTATTTATCATATAATGAGAGAGAGAAGGATTAGTATTTTCCATTTAATTCCACTACTTTATTTGCTTATCCTTGACAGATACGCGTAGTGGAATTAAATGGAAAATGCTAATCCTTATCTCTCTCATTATACAGGTATTCCACTAAGACGCCCACATTCATCAGGATGCTATTTATCAATTTTATCTAGATAAATGTGTCATTGGCACGGTACTAATGGATGTTTTTGGTCGCTATTGAAAATTTAGCCGATTGCTGAATTTATTGATGGGCCCAAATTAGGGGCATTTAGGCCGACATTACATCCATTTCCCCTATATTTTTTTTAAGTTCTCCGGATGTTTTCCGAAATTTTCTAAGAATTTTCTTCAATATTCCTTTATTCTTTCTCTAGCAGTTATTTCGGCATCATTCAGTTCAGAAGCTAATTCAAACAAACCCCGGAAATTTCTTACAACTTCTCCTGGAAAGGAAATGTTTCATTCTTAGTCCAATGGTTTGAATTGTCACCTTAAAAATCTTCATATATATTCCAAATTGGGTCTTGATTAGTCTCCCAAAATGAAACAGTTATTTTATAACAATTATAAGCATTCAGTTGCAAATTGTCAGAAATGTAAATAGGCGGTTTATTTTTACAACATAGAAAAGAATCAAAACTTTCCGGAGCGCAAAGAAAATCAACAAAATTGTTAGCATGAGCATGAAAACATTTCGTGTACCGTGCCGATTCAAATTTCGGACACTTAAACTCGAATTTCGGACACTTTTAAAAGTTGATTATCTCGGTCGAATATGATCCACATGTCTTGTAAATTTTAATTTTTTTTTGACTAGTGCCCTCCACGATCATCTAACATTATTACTTTGTTTCTAACTGGATGTAATATTTAATTAAAAATGAAAGTGTCCGAAATTTTAATCGGAACGGTATACGTATACGCGACGTAGTGTGCGTAAGAAAAACGTCAGCAATCTCTATAATTCTTCCGTTCTCGCTCGCATATACATGGGGTGACATTGTCGAAAGGTTGAAATCACGCATAACTTTTCATAAAGGTTAATGTACCATTAAAAACTTTTCCAAATGTTTGTAAAATTCATCGGTTGCACTCGTAGAATAGGAATATACATTTGCCTTCAAATAAAAAAAATGAATTCAAGCTGAACATTGCATTAGGTCCTAAGTAACATTGAGAAATTCTCTTCGTCGACTTTCTCTTTGCATCCCCACGGTCATGTAAAGATATTCCCAGGTATTTTCAGCCCATAAATCGATAAAAGAAGCTTTTATCTAGCATCCAATACGACAGACACATCAAGAAACGGTTCTGTGAATAAGTTATTAACGAAAGAGAAAGTCGACAAATAGAATCGATCAATGTTACTTAGGACCTAATGCAAAGTTCAGCTTGAATTGCTCTTGTAAAAAGAAAATAGTTCTCGTAATAAAATCATGCATTATCCTTTTCTGTTCTGCTTTCATCCTATGCACACTGGGCCAGGAATGCAACCTAGCGGAGCAAAATTAATAACTCCGAAACGAAGCATTTCCGCGACTTGGTGTCTTCGGCAAAACAAATAGTTCAAAACTCTTCCGCAAAGATGGTGCCACAATCTAACTTCTTTCTCTGACGTTTTGGAAACTTGATGTCTTCGGCAAAGTTGTTTATCTTGACAAAATGAACAGCTCTTTCAAAGACGTTAAATTTCCACAGTCAGTAGTAGTAGGCTGTGAAGTTTTAACGTATTAAGAAGAGTTGTTTATTTTATCAAGATAAACAACTTTGCCAAAGTCGTGAAGTCTTCGAAACACAAGTTCAATGCATTAAAAAAAGTTATAGAAAAAAATCATGTTGAAGAAATCTAAAAAAAAACACCAAAATATACCCCTCTCAAATTTTGATATTTTGTTTATCGAGTATTGCTTAATTTTTGCTGAAAATGTCAGGTTGCTATTTTTTTGCGCTTTGGGAGATATTAAAGTTCAAAAATTGTGTTTTTTTTTTCGTTTTTTCAACAATATCTTTGAAATTTGAAGCTTAATCCAGTATGTTTCTTCACAAAAGCTATTTATTTAATGTATTTGCATAAGAGAAAAATATAACATTATATAGTTGTAAGCAAAAAAACCGAAACAGAAAGAAAAAAACATATTTTCGACATCTTTTTCTTTAACTCCATATAACTTGGAACCAGTAGACTGTGGAAATTTAACGTCTTTGAAAGAGCTGTTCATTTTGTCAAGATAAACAACTTTGCCCAAGACATCAAGTCTCCAAAACGTCAGAGATAGAAGTTAGATTGTGTTATCTTTGCGGAAGAGTTTTGAACTATTTGTTTATGTCAATAGATGGTCCTTATTATGACGAGAAATTTTGCCGAAGACACCAAGTCGCGGAAATGCTTCGTTTCGGAGTTATTAATTTTACTCCGCTAGGTTGCATTCCTGACCCAGTGTGCAATGTAAGCATTAGACATTTTAAGAAATTGCGCTTGGTGTTTTTCTTGCCTGCTGTCCTCTGTCGCCATATTGTCATTATGAAAATGCCATTAGCCTTGGAATAAAATCCAAGAAATTTCAATAAAATAATGGCTAAATAAGAGCTCCGAAATGATTTCCAGTGTGCATTGGTATGAATTTATGTATTGAGATCTATTTTGTGTAAATTTAAGGCGATTCCATCAAATTCATTTGATTTCTGAAACAATCTTTTTTGTTTACTTGAATTATTTTGGAGGCGCATTTATTTAACGCTCATATTATCCCAATATACACGATAACATTTCAAGCGCATATATTTTGGAACTTCTGAAAAGTCATATATTTTCTTTAAGATTTTCACTAATGTCACCATGAAACAAAATTGATTGCATGGTGATCTTGACACCAACACTCAAACCTATTTTTACCGCTAAAGATTTCCATTTGAAAAAAAAGTTTCAGCAGAACAGAACAACAACAAGCTAATTTATGGCGGTTGCTTTAAAAGCAAAGAAAAATTAAATTGGATTTATAACTGATTTTCACCAAAGCGTAATAAAACTGCTTGAATACAATATTGCTCTTAAAGAGGCTATGAGAACCTTTTGTAGAGTATGGGGCTTTCTGATAAAAGGTTTTAAGACAGCTTTCTTGTGATTCTCAAACATGCTTTATAAACCTTATCAAGAGTGGTCCACTAAGCTGGAAGACGATCTTATAGCGGTTATCAAGAGGTTGTGCTGGGGCTATTAATTTTATTGACGGTTTTATAAAATTGATCTCAATAACCACTAATAGAGTGCAATAAAACAAGAAATGCTACTTGGGTATCCATCTAATACTGTAATAGGTTTTTCGATAGTAATTTCCACATAAACTTGAAATGGTTTGTGCCAAAAGAGTTCAAATTTTAGGAGACTAATCAAGACCCAATTTGGAACCGTTTGAGCACTGTGGAACGAAAATGTCAAATTTTTCATCAGTCTAATATATATGTTTAAGCTTTATTAACGAGATTTTTAGGTCGTTCGCTAGTTTTTTTTTTTTTCCTTTGGTTTGTTTTTTCCGTCGATCTTGTTTTCCGTGCTGAGCACCAATGCTACCGACGTGCCAGGAAGGCAGCTCCCACACCTGGACCCTACCTATCGACCCATCAACTCATGAACCGGGGACCAACGGCTTTACTTCCCATCCGAAGGAAGGCGTGATCAGAGATGTTATGCCTCAGAACATCCCGGCGGCGCCGACTGGGATTGAACCCAGGCCTGCTGGGGTGAGAGGTAATCACGCTTACCACTACACCACCGGCGCCGTTGTTCGCTAGTTCATCTCGTCAAATATATAATCAATTAAAATAGCATCTGCTTTTGTAAACAATCCATTTTATCGTAGATTTAGCGTAACTGGTAGCTCGCCCACGCATGCCAACGCTACCAACAGATAGGAGAGATTTTCTCCTGCCTGATACTGTAAGTATGCGTGTACATATGCGTACAACTTTGTTTCAGACAGAATTTCAATTAGATGAGCCATTTTCGTGCTATGATTTATTGAAAAATATCGAACACTCCATTTTGAAAAATTAATAGAGACTTAAAATTGCCGTATTCCAGCACAAACTTTCAAAGGTGAACTGGGAATCGAACCCACCCGCCTCCAGCATGGTCTTGCTTTATAGCTACGCCTTTACCGGGCTAAGGGAGACCCCTTACAACTGATGTTAATATTAAATATCGGATTTTTACCGAACAGTTTAATGTTCGTTAAAAAAAAAGTACTGAATACGCCAATATTTCCTGAGTGTGTGTATGTCTGTGCTTATATTTTATTGAATGGAGGTAGATTGGACGTTGCAAATAATCATCCTAACTTGTGTGACTAATAATGCGAATGAATGAAATCAAGTGAAGATATCACCGAAAAATAAAACCCCGTGGTCAATTCCGCCCAGTCACTGTCAGTCATAACATCTATCTCAACTCTCAACACCTGAGACTGGGTGGGAGCCCTAAAAAAGCTATATTTTGTATTGGTTGTTCTTCAGAACCCAGTCTCTTATCGTAAAGCAGCACAATGTGTTCGCCTACATGATAACGATTTTGATGGTAATAATAACCACTTATAATCGATACTTTAAACCGAAAACCATCAGTCTCGTGCCTATTGTCGACAGAAACGCGTGGCATCGAGCGTCCATTGATTTCAACAATGGCGGAAGACTGTTTCAGCTACATTCCCTCGACGGAGCAATATTTTTCCGGTTTGTTTGAAGAAAAATGTGTGAATTTTTGCAATAATTTCCCTTTCCAACCGTAGAATACTCAACACCGCTGATAGTCCTATTAGTGATTTCCGCAGTTCTGTTAGTTCTGGTAACCGGCTTGTTCTACCAAAATGCGAAAATTATTCTAGACCTCTACGCACAGCACTGCCAGTTTGAGCTTGTCATAGCTAATGGTATCTATATGGTAAGCCATCGAGACCATCAGGCATTCAATTAACTAATTCCCAAACACAATCATCGCGTTCAATACTTTCCAACAGGTGGTAGTGGCATTTTGCCTTATCTCGCTGGCCGTTCCGTGGCTATCGGAGAAATTCAACCTGGCGACACTCATAGTTTTCTCGTGGTGTATATTTGCACTGTACAGGTAAAATACATAGCTATAGGAAGACGGTTCGTGACAGATATGCTTGTTAAACGGTTGAACTATCTGCACGAAGGAACGGTGAAGTAAATTTAATTGAAAATTCGCCTACAGGTATATCTTATGGACGGCCGGAGGACATGGCGCTTTGCAACAGATGTACGAATCGAATAGCGAACGGTTGGCAAGCGGTGGAAGACTGAAGCGTTTGCTGTATAGAATCTTGTAAGTTTTTTAATTAATTAGTAGTTGACCGTAGATGACTCAGTTTTGTGAAAGAAATTAAATTAACAGGGACTATTTATGCTTAGAGAACTATCCATTGATAACTCTGCAATCACTCAAACACACAAATATGAGGATAGACATAAGTTGTAGTAGAACGTATTCAGCTCCTATATGAAAATTTTAAACTTAAGTGATACTATACCAATTTCAGATACAGGTTTTTTATGTAGTAACCTTACCAAAATCATGTAACTTTTCATGGATCGAAAAAGTTACACGATCGTGTTTGTATTATTCTGCGATACATGGTATGCAGTATGGTAAATTTCTGTCTACGACAAAGCTGATAAGTTAGGTAAACCGTCTCAGGGTTACAGAAATCCCGGTTTCCGCGCCAGGATGCCAAATCCTCGTCATAGCCATACCCACAAAAAATGAAGAATACACTCAAAAATTGTTTATGCAGCCATAAACTTCAATTGCATCAAACCTCTAAGATCTAGGCTCTAAGTAGTGGACTCGTATCTGTGAAAAGAAAGGCAACGTTGACAGATTTAAATGGAAACTAATCAACCTGTTCTAAAAGTTCTTCAGCCTTAAACTTTGAAAAGAATTCTGAGCGGTTTTTCAATACTGTGTTAAATCCAATTGAACTTTCAGTTAACCCATTAATCTTCCTATCAAAATTCAAAATTTCCGCATCGCACAGCCACACTCTGTGTTTTCACTGAAGGTGTACGCGCAGATAGTGGCTCCATGTACATTTTGCGTTTTGATAGCATTAAATTATCGATGAGTTAACTGCAAATTCAACTGGATTTTAGCGATGCATCCAAAACAGCAATCCATCACTGTGAAATTTTTGAAAGTCCTAGAATTACGACTATTCATAATCGTAAAACTTCTAGTTCGTGAACATATCTCCGAATCTGGGATTTTTAAATATTTTCCTAGAACGGAACAGAATTTGAAAATTTTGGCCTTGAACACTAAGATTTTAAAAAAAATAGGGTGACAACAACATAAATACCCCCTCTCCTCGGCCTCAGTTTTTCACCTACTTGGTAGATTCTTATTATTTTCCACGTAGTTAAAGCAAACTTGTGAGTTTTATTTCTGGAATTATTAAATTTAACGTATTCCTGATCCATTAGAACTGGACAAGGAATCAAAAATATCTCCAAATGACAAAATGACAAGCAATCAACGAACCGAATGATATCGCTATGTCAGAAGTGGAAAGCAATAATGGTATAATCTTCTTCATTCTTTTTCATGACAAGCAGCCCGTGTAACACAGCTCACTCAGGGCGGTAGAAGGAAACGAGCAAATTGTTGGCAAGCTGCTTCACGAAGCAAAGCCGAAGATGATACACGTGTGCTAATTGGAATTTTTGTGTTATATCTTGTCTCGATTCAGATCAAACTATGTCCGTGATAATATTGCAACAAAGCAGGCAAGCAATCTATCATTATCCTTCCACCACTCCGATCGAGCTGTGTTGCAGTGTGAGTTTGTCGTGGCAGTCGTGGCAAGCGTTTTGTCTGTATCGTTGGTTGCTTTATGTGTTTGGCTTCGCTGGAACTGGATCATTAGACGGAACTGATTTTATATCGCTTGAGATGATAAATGACAAGAGCAGTTGAAATTTGTTTAGAGGAAAAGTCACTGATAAGCTAAGGATACATATGTTTTATCAAAAATCGTTAACTTTCAATATTCTAATGTTTATTTTTCATCATCATATAGCATGACTTTGAGCAAAAAATGTTGGCCGAATTATGATTCCCGAGTTTTATACATGATCTAATTTTCATAGACATCAGAATCTAATAGCAGGCACTATTTAAGCTTTTTTGATTCATATTGTAAGCCCCATCTATTTGGAGAATTATGCGCAAAGACGGCTTGCCAAGTCCCTCCCAAATGATAGTAAGTGGAAATGGTGTAAAACGCACCAGTGGGGTAATATGATCAACAGCACATTTTTCATGGACTTTTCGAACATATTAATGCTAATTGATCTAGAACTGCTAGAACAATAAATTTGTGATATATTCACATAAATTACTTGAAAAAGGTTAATGGTCATATTACCACACTGGTACGTATTACAAAGCACAAATTTAAAATTATTAGAATAATTCTAGATAGAGCTGGAATTAGGGCATAACAGCTTTTGTAAACAATGACTTCTCTCGAAGATTCCTAGAAAGCCAAGACTCGCTCACTCAAATCAACGTCACTATCGGGTAGGGGAAGACTTCGCCTTCCCGTTGGTTATGTTGGTTTGCGTGGACGTGCCTTGAGTTTCGAGAAATCATCTAGAGAAGTCATTGTTTACAAAAGCTGTTACGCCCTAATTCCAGCTCTATCAAGAATTATGATTTTTCTTCATCGAATTTCAAGCTTATTGCATATGGCATATTAGCTTATTGCGTGCTCTCAACTCAGTGTTTTAAATACACTTCCACAGTTAATTATTGAGAGCTTTCGATGCCTGTACTATTTTTGCATTAGTATAATTGTGTGGCAAGTACAATCATACTCTATGCCCAGGGAAGGCTTGGTCTTGCTTTGTAGCTGCACCGTTACCGCCTGAGCTAAGGGAGGTCCCAACATTATGTTAAACGCAGCTATTATCGGTGGAATCGGTAGTATATACCCTGAAATAAAATGGCTGATTTATGGGGTCGTTACCCTTTATAGGGGAAATGGATGTGATGTAGGTCTAAATGCCCCTAATTTGGGCCCATACATAATATTCAGCAATCGACTAAATTTTCAATAGCGACCAAAAATATCCATTAGTACTGTCTCTGCGTTAATCTAGATAAAACTGATAAATAGCAGATTTTTAGCGATGGGCATAATCTTAGATCCATAGGCCAACATTAGAGTCATTACCCCTAGGTATATAAATATCAGTTAAACATTCGTAATACAGGTGGAACACGAAAAAATCCGGACACAAAAGGTATTTTTTGGGTAAAATTATTCTAAATTTTACTTTTTTTACAATCCATTTATTTGTCAAGGCTCAAATGCAGTAGCTTTGCGGAGCCAAATTAATTTACATGTAATTTTATATAATCTTTTTTTACAACTAAAGTTAGTAGAATAGGGGCCGAATACTCGCGGTTTACTCGAGGTTAATAAATACATTTATTTAGAGAATTGGAAGGGGACAAAGGGAAAGAGATATTGGTAACTCTTCTTCTTTCTACTTCTGCACTGTCACTGCACTGTATTGGCGGGCTGTAAATTTCACTTAATCAAGCTAAGAGAGCACGGAATCACAGCAGGCATTGGTTTGTTGATAAGTTCATTTGTTTACAACATTACACCGGAGCAAGCACGTCGCGATTCGATCCTGCACGCTCGAAACGAAAATCCCAGTCCATCCGCTCCTGGCAGTTTTCGATCAAATTCCTGGGCAGGAATTTTATACCTCGGTTGACCGGAAAAGTTCCCCGGAAGAATGTAAAATCAAAAAGAAGTCGAAATTCCCCCAAAAAATTCCTTGTCTGGCAAGTAATCTGCAGTTGTGGACTGAAAAGCGAAACTTTCGTTACTTCTTGGACATTGAATCAGAAAGTTTACCAGGAGGAGTGCCTACGGAAAAGACTACTGTCTTTTCTGGAGCAGCATGAGGTGGATTGCCTATTCTGGCCGGACTTGGCAAGCTGCCACTCAAATTCCACCAAACAGTGGTACAGCGAAAATGGCATCACAGTGGTTCCCAAGCAGATGAATCCGGCCAATACTCCGCAACTAAGGCCAATACTGGAATACTGGTCAATTTTGAAGCACATACTGAAGAAAAAGGGTGGAACTGCAATTGACCTGAAGGAATTCAAGCGGAATTGGAATTTGGCAGACAAACAAGTGGGAACAGGGCTCGGGCCGTGTACGAAGAAAATTTCGAGTAATGGCCTATGGTAAGAAGGAAGACTGAAACAATGGTCTTACAATAAGCATACAATGTACTAATCTATAGCTGTAACCAGGCATGGCAAATCATTTACATTTATTTCGTGCATTCATTTACATTAATTTGCCTCTATCTCTTTTCATCAACAGAATTCTGTGAAATAATGTGTTAAGCTATAGTAGGTTTTAACATTAACTACAACTTTTGTCACTAACTCAAATCTGTGTCTCTTATGCATGATGAACCAGAGCGAACAGAACCCACCATTGTTTTTCAGTGAATCACAATTACATTCACTGAAGAATAATAACAAGGTCTTCCCGCTCTAGTTCGACATGCATAAGAGGTACATATTTGAGGTTTCACGCAAGTTGTAGCTAATTTCAAAACCTACAAAAGTTTCATACATCATTCAACGGAATTCTCTTGAAGAAAAAAATAGAGGCAAATTAATGTAAATGCCTGGCCGTTACATTGAACTGTGAAAAATCAAATGCATTTTTGAACCCCAACAAGATTTTCGTGTCCGGATTGTTTCGTGTTCAACCTTTAGGTAGCTCCCGAATCTCAAACATACACGAACGACCTCGTAAATTTTGCACTCGTGGTTTAACTTAACGTTTTCCACGAACATGGGGACAGATTTAGTAGTGTGCTTTGAGCAGACAAAAATTTCTTTTCAGTGCGTATTTTTTTCTGAAAAAGACAATCCTACAACTTTGTCTGAGACGTCATTTCAATTAGATTAGCCGTTTTTTGGCTATAATTTATTGGAAAATATCAAACATGCCCTTTTGAAAAATTAGGCGTGAAGTAATATGGCCGCATTCCTGCAAAAACTTGGGTAATTACCCCTAGTGAACAATTATGCGAAGTTTCATGGAATTCGGAGAGGGAACAACAGAATCGATTCGTAAGTTGGCGTGCAACTGATCGATGATCCCGGACTGAGAAACATGATCAGGGTGGCCACAGGTAGAGAACTAAAAATCCTGTGTTTTTGCTCGGTTAGTAAAACAGACAAATTTTATTAAAAAAATATAACCAAAAACATTAAAAAACAGAAAATGTTTAGTCAATTCAACACTTAAACAAATTAAAAATAAAAACTTCATAATATTCTGGAACTTACTTCTCGGAAAGAAGTTGTAATATCTTAGACATTGCAAAATTTTCAAGATTCTGAGGCTTAGTAAAACATCAACTCCAGAATATAAAAACTAATATTTAAGATTCATTGGCCGGAATCCGTCCACCTCACACAAAATGTGTTGCTCAACAAGCTCATCAAACACTTTTTTTTTACTCCAGCCGATTCTTACAGCCGAACAATAGTTATGATTAGCTTCTTTTTTTTTCCTTGATTTTTTTTTTTTCCTTTTCTTTATTAGAGAGATTTTTAGCCAACTTTTTTTTTTTTTTTCCTTGATTTGTTTTCCGTCGATCTTGTTTTCCGCGCTGAGCACCAATGCTACCGACGAGGCCAGGGAGTCAACTACCACACGTATCGACCCATCAACTCATGAACCGGGGACCAACGGCTTTACTTCCCTCCCGTGATCAGAGATGTTGCGCCTCAAAACATCCCGGCGGCACCGACTGGGATTGAACCCAGTCCTGCTGGGGTGAGAGGCAATCACGCTTACCACTACACCACCAGCGCCGCTGTGATTAGCTTTATTCCATATCACTTTCATTTTTGTGTGGCTGGCACATGCATCAAAACTCCCGCTCATTCATTCCAATCAGCCCAAACACTTCACGATCGATAGTGATCGCGATATCTATACACATCTCACTTAAACACACCTCACTCGCGTGTACAAATGCTAAATTATAACTTAACCGAACAATAGATAACGTGCGATCGAGATCACAACTTAACGTATGCAAAAACTATTACAATCAAATTACCGCACGTGGGGCTCGGAACTCTCAAACAAAATCGAATTGCGTAGCGATAAAAACAAGCAATAACATCGATATTGATCAAGGATCAGAACTCCAAGCTTAGCCGGTTCCAGTTAGAGAACTTCGGATAGAAGCTTAGTAATCACGCAAAAGACCGACTTCAACACTCTTGGGCAATTCGTGACTTGTCCATGGAGCCTATTTAATTGAGTACCCTCACTGGATACGACCTGGCATGGAAAATCATTTACATTCATTTCATGCATTCATTTACATTCATTTGCCTCTAACTTTTTTCATCAACAGCATTCCGCTAAACGATGTTTAGAGCTTTAGTAGGTTTTGTTATTAGCTACAAGTTTTGCCCGTAACTAAAATCTGTATCTCTTATGCATCACGAATTAGAGCGACCAGAACTTGTTACTGTTTTTCAGTGAATGTAAAATACATTCACTGAAAAACAGTAGTGGATTCTGTTCGTGCATAAGAGATACAAATTTTAGTTGTTGACAAAAGTTGTAGCTTATAACAAAACCTACAAAAACTCCTTACATCATTTTGCGGAATTTGGTTGATGAAAAAAGTTAGGGGCAAATGAATGTAAATGAATGCACGAAATGAATGTAAATGATTTTCCATGCCTGGATGCGACCCTAGTTTTGTCACTACAAACAAAGCTTAACGTAGCAAGGACAAAGATACGATCGTTTAGTCACTGAAAAACCTGTCACCCTAGTTTGAAACAGTTAGGACTTGGGTGCAGTGGTATGTTTTACACAGTGAAGCATCACTTAGAGGTTTAGAGGTGATGTATCCACGTTACGGATTTGAACGATTGCTTGCAAGAGTTTTCACTCTCGAGAAGTCACTATTTTAAATTTACGACTTGCGCTTATGACAGATCACGGTCAAAATGACATGGGAATGGTAATAGTTGTGTTAAGTTGAATTGATTTCACTACACATGGGAACAGAAGTAAAGGAAAGTCTGGACATTGTTGCCAAATTAAACTGATCAATTTGAAGGACGCGATCGTTCGGCTCGGTAAGTAGAAATGTAACCGCTGTTCATTATGTACAAAGTCAGTTGAGGGAGGGATTGGCGAGTATCTACGGTTTATACAAATGATGTTTTAAGGGTTTTGTACAAACGACTGACTACGTAGAACAGTCTACCCCAAGTAACAATTTTGGTTTTATGAGGGTTCTGAAGACCATGATTTAGACTTGTAGAATACTTTAAAACCACTATAAAACTTGTAATGCTACTTGGGACATCAGTGATTCTCAAACTTTCGTTGATTGCGACCCACTTTGAGAAATTTCATAAGCTCGTGACCCACCAATATTGAATACTGATGCTGTAGACCAAAATGACCTTAACCAAAATTCCAAAATATTAAAAACAAAATATAAATATAAAAAATTTAAATATTTAAACAAAAATAGATAAAAATATAGCTTAAACGGCAAATCATTAAAAAAAAAGGCATAACATGAGCAAAAATCGTCTGAAAATACATGGCCATCGAATAACCAGAAAAACACAAAATATTATTAAAAATAAATCACTTTATGGGGTGGCTTTCTCAGTCTTTTAGTAGAAACGATTATTTTTTTACGTTCCCGACGTTTCGACCGTTTGGTTGTGGTCTTTCTCAAGGGTTGCTAAAAAATGTATTGCACATATATAACATATAAATTAAACATAATTACACAAATAATTAACTCACTAATGTCTATCGTTTCCCGTTACAAACTTTTACGAATCGAGGACAGCGTAAATGTAGATTTTTCATGACCTGTCTAATTTAATTTGGATAAATAATCGGTGTGTTGAAATGGTATTTTGTTCGTTGATCAAACTGTACTTACTGTTAATTTTTAGGAAATTTTTAAAGTGATCTTTTGCACAGCACTGCAACGTTTGTTTTAAATAAGATGGTGGGACCATCAACAAAAGGGGGGGGGGGGTCACCGTCATTATTTATTTACGGTGGGTCATGATCATCATTGTGAGCCAATTGATATTGAAGTGTCTGATCTGATAGTAACTCAGTTGTGTTTCTTCTGCGTGTTGTTGACTTTTTGATTGTGTGTAACAGACCTGCATATGTGCTGTTAAGTCCTTGTACATCTGTACGGTGGTTGACTGTGTTAGATGTGTGTGCTATGTGACACATTTCTAATATTGGTAATGTTGATATTTTGTTTGTTTTGTCCAGAATTTTTGGTTGTGTTAGGTTGAACATATGGGATTCTTGGATGATGTGCTTGATCATGGCTGTTTTTTCCTTTAGGTTATGTATCTCTTCATCTGTGTTCGTATGGTTGTTTTGGATTAGTTTTGTGTATTGGTTTATATTGCTTCGATGTCCACTGATTCTTGTTTTGAGTTGGTTTCTCGTCATCCCAATGTACGTTTTCTGGCAGTCTATACAGGCTAAGCTATAGATAACATTGCGTTGGTCACATTTTTTAGCAACCCTTGAGAAAGACCACAACCAAACGGTCGAAACGTCGGGAACGTAAAAAAAAAAAATCGTTTCTACTAAAAGACTGAGAAAGTGATTCCAATCAACCAGTCGAAACCACCATTAGCATTAAAAATAAAAATGGCAAAAATCGCAAAAATGGACTAAACCAAAAAGCTAGGGTGGTTTCTTAAAGCGCTAAAATTTCCTGTAAACTCTTGAATCAATGTATAACTTGCAACGATTAGTTCCCTTTATAAAACTTTCCAAACTGGCCTTGAAATCTTAAAATTGGCCTGAAAAAAAAATAGCCCTGAAATTATTTGAACAGCCCTGAAAACGTCAAAACAATTGACACAATAATCGCAAAAATGACACTCAAATGATTTTAAGGTGTTTCGCTGTGGGATCCTTATTCTCGCTACTACTTCGATACCCTAAGTGCACAAATATCAGCTTCCACGACTCGTACCTCAATGAAACTGTTGCTCCACGTTTGCTGCACTGCAGGTGAAATGGGGCACTTATTTCCGAGATTTGGGTAATTAAAGTGGTGGAAGTGCATTTATAGCCTACGTGGCGGCCATTTGTGGACTCTACAAGGAATCAACTTAAGACGCCAAAATATGTAAGGGAGAAAGATTCCATTAAGAAATCTAAATTAGCATCTAACCAAGTTGTCTGAATTTTCGTGACTCATCTAAGGGTAGCCCTTGATCCATCAGTGCTTTGCGACCCATACAATGAGAAACGCTGGTCTACATAGCTTATGAACAGCCCTCAACCTATTAAGTTTATATAGGGGAAATGGATGTAATGTCGGCCTAAATGCCCCTAATTTGGGCCCATACATAAACAATCGACTAAATTTTCAATAGCGACCAAAAATATCCATTAGTACCGTCCGAATGACGCGTGTATCAAGATAAAATTCATAAATAGAAGATTTTTAACGATGGGCCCAATCTTAGATCCATAGGCCAACATAAGAGCTATTTCCCCTAATTGATTCATGTAAAAATATTCAGAATTTCATAGGATAAAATCTCACACTTCTATTTCCAGTGGCAGATACTGCGTTGTACGATTCAGCATAATTCAATTTCCAATTGTCAGTACCATTCAGTCTACGATTCAGATAATTTTACACTTTATTGACATAGTAAGTATGGAAGTGTAGAGCATCTCAGCTGTTTAACAAATAAACCTTTCCTCAAAACACAAACCATTTCAGGATCAGTTTTATGATACTACGTACATTTTCCTTCCGATCTCGTTAACCTCGATTCTGCTGTACCTGGTAGCGTTTTCCCTTCTCGTAAACCTCATCGAACCATCGTTTCCGGATCCCAAAATTGTGGTAGGTCGACTTATTCAAGACGCTTGCGTTTAACTGCATATTCAAAAGTTATTATTATTACAGACAAAGTTCAAATTTCTCCGGTTGGTTGTGCTGGTGATCAAAATTCAGGTAGCCATCATGGAAATCATCTTCCGACAGGTGCACATCGAATGCACTGACTTTGACGGAGAAGCGTGGTCACTATTCAATAGTAAGTTTTAATTTTTAAACATGCAGTGTACAGTGTGACAAAGTAATTACTTTTCCAGTTATCAAACAACCAGTGATAATGATGCAAATGGTTCTTCTTGCTTTTGCAACGTGGTCGCTTTATCGAAAGGAAGACAAGAAGAATGCTACGAGTGAATCTTAAAATTTAGGAATTGCCTAGTTTTTGTCTAAACAAATCTCATTCAAATATAAAGACAGTCATCTCTGTGTACGACACAGCATCCGAAGGTCAGTAGCTATATTAATCACACGTTGATGACGGCACAATAATGGGAAAGGGTACCTCCTCCGACGATTACACAGAAGAGTGAGCAAAACGTGGTACCTACACTACTGGCAGGTTTTTTCTTCAATTCTCGCATTTTCAACTACAAATATCATCGTTTTGCAACACGGCGTCGTCGGTCGTCGTCGCGTGGTTTCACACACCGTCTGACCAACAAACAAACTACATCGCTTAGTAGGCTGTTTCGTCTCTCTTCTGCCAACAGCTGTGACCAAATGTCTACCAGTACTAAAAAAATAACACGGTACCTGTTTAGCGGGCTTCGACAATCCGAGATTGATAGCATAAATGCTAGACTGGTCCCAAATTTGAAAATATTCACTGAATTAATTGTAAATAAGTTTCATTGACATTGAGCTTGATTGACCGACTGCAGTTCCACGCCAAATGACAAATCGGAAAACTCGACCTTTTCCGATTTGCATGAAATTTTGCATTATTGCTAAAATTCGGTTATTTTGCATCTTGTAGAATTTTAAAAATGGCGTATTTGAAATTTATCAAAAAATGTTTTCACGAAAACTGCACTTCTGGTCGAAATGACGTCCGACACAAAGTTGTAGAGAAACTTAATTTTTGTCTGGGAAAAATATACAAACCAATATTTTTATTAGTTTCAAGTAAAAATTCCAAAAATAATCAAAACCTAAATATTTCAAAATGTTCTTGTCCGGTCGAGATTTTTTTTTTAATGGACATTTATTAACACTTAAAAATTGACACAAACCGTAGAACAAGAACGTGTTTGGTCTTTTTTTAAAGTTTTGTTAATATTCAGAAAACAATGATTGAGATAGTTTAAACAAGTTGGCTTTCGTCTGTGTACATAGCAACACTTGTTTCTCTCTGGGACGGGACTTGACAATCGGGTAGCGATTTCGAGCCAATTTGCTGTCAAATCCGAGCCAGTTGCTGATTGGTCGATTTGACAGTAGCAATCGTGGAATAAAAAGGACAGAGGGATCACATCAATCTGACTGGCAGTGATGCCGGAATCAATGTTGACGTCAATGGCGTTGTTAATTGTTTATATTTGCGAAAGTAAAGTTGGAAAACAGGGTCCACGGCGTGCTTTAAGCGATGGATATTCTTGTCTGTTTATGGTTGTTTTTATTGTGTTAAGCAAAAATTAAGTACAAGGTGCTAAACTGCGGTAGAAACTCCGAAAAAAAATAAAAATAAAAATAGAAGAATCATTCTGCAATCCTGGCCTCATTGGTCAATTCCGTCAAACACCATGCACTAATTTTCGACGGGCATTCATCAAAAACATTAAGAAGAGTGAGAAGCTGGATTGTCCAGTCCCGTCCCGGGTTTCTCTCGGTGTCGATCACGCTATCGACGGTTTTTTATTCGGTCACGGTATTGTTTTCGTGCGCTTTGTTGATTGCATGCAGTTTGGTCAGTGCTCTTTCTCATCACTGTTGGAGCAAAATTTTTGACAATAATGGTCGAAATAAAGCAAACTTTGTGGTTTGCCTATCCAGATTCAAGGCCAAACATGGTCGAGATTCAAAACTTCGTTAAATCATGGTGACATATACGCCATATATCGAATTGCTGAGGAGAAGGCGATCTTTATGAAGCTTAAATCTGAAGCAAGTATGCATTATGCCCTGTTGCATAACCTGGAGCAACTAACTTTCCATTATGCTAATGGAACGGCAGTCGAGGTACGAATGTCACTTGTCGGAGGCATCACGTGCGAGTGTACGATCTACCAGAAGTACCAGATTATGATCTAACGTTGCCAGCTCCAAAATACGGAAAAGTGAAGCGTGTCATTCGAGAAAAATTCCCTGTCGCATTGGGTGTCGATATGTTCACAGGAGTCCGAGGTGTTCACACGGACGTGGAAAAGAAGATTCCCTCCTCGCTCAATTTCCTCAATCGAAAGGGGAATATGTTCTTATTCAAGGAATAAAGATAAATGCTTCCTATGTAAGGCGGAGGGTTACCGGATGAATTCCTGCCCCAAGCGGAAGGCCCGTAAACAGCAGCTTGCAGAGTCACCCGATCTGGACAAAAAGCAAGATGAAGAAAAGAAGGATGATAAAGGAGGCAGTTCGTACGCTGGTGTAGTTACTAAAAGTGCATCGTCGGACAGCAGCAGCCAGGAAACAAAGGAAAATGGACGTGGTGACCGAAGTCGAAACCAAACCTCAACTAACCTGGTGCCAGCAACGGCAGAAGTATTGGAATGGTCTATACGAGTACAAAGCGATGCAGAAGAAAAAAAAAACAGAATATTAGTCCCTCGGCTCCGTTCAGCTCATATAGACAATGAGCCTTTCTAACAAACACCATAAAACAACACATTTTAAATCATGTGAAAAAATACAAAAAAAAACGTACTTACAAAAAGTTCAAAAATTTGATCATAAACATAGTTGAAGATGCTAGTTTCAAATAACGGACTAAAGTGGTAATTTTTATACGATATATGAGGAGATGAAAGTATAGAGTTGATAGTTCCATTAGAGTACGGCAGTGGGAAAATTGTATATATAGAGTAGAAAGCGAGCAAGGACAACTTTTTAGGAAAGTACAAATCGGTTTGATCATCTCTCTTTACCAAACTCCTCCGTTGGAGATGAGATTGGTCATAAAATTGTTTAACCATTTTGTCCGTTTTCAAGTGAAGGTTTGGCATTTTTCATGAGCTTTTATCTACAACTTTGTCTCAGACGTGTTTTCGATCAGAAATGCCGTTTAAGTACTACAATTTTTTTGAAAAAGTTCAAGGACGCCATTCTTTTTTAAGTTTATAAGATCCAAAAGGCCGATTTTTATAATAAAATGTGAATCATTACTCAGAACAAACAACAAGGCAAAGTTTCATATGTCATTCCTCAAAAGTGTCATAACTCTAAAATCGATTTAAATAAATTCCAGAATTCGCAAAACGCTTTTAAAAAACAGCAAAAGGCACAACTTGTTCCTGAATAGTTGCAGGAATAGAAAAACTTTTCTAATAAGTCAAAGAAATTCAAAAATAATAAGTTCTTATAAGGGCCTGTTCATAAACTACGTAGAGTTTTTTTGGGATTCTTGACCCCCCCCCCCTCCCGCTGCGTAGACAATTGACCATACAAATGTTTTTAAATTTGTATGGGCCGTGGATAATTGTCAACCCCCCCCCCCTAAACTGTCTATGTAGTTTATGAACAGCCCCTAGGTCGCAAAGGTCGAAAATCGTGTCTGATGATGAGTAACAGAAACCGAAAATTTTTCCCAAGGCTGTCCACAGAAGGAGTCCACTCTCGATGTGTGTCACGCGATCGTCTGTTTACTCGGCAGCAACCATTGTGTGGTCCTCCTCATTGTTCTTCATCAGCAGTTCTTTCGGTCGATGCATCGTCGACTTTGGAAAGCAACCGTTTTGTGATGAGTGTGAGCGTGCTGATCACGTTTTGCGTCCATTGCTGCAATGGAAACACTCTGCCCCCCGTCAGCGATACTGCCATACAATGAAACCACTGGAAGCGGCTCCCATTCTGATGGAGGAGGCTTTTTGGATAGCGGAAGATAAAGTGATTATTGTGTTGTACCTTTTGACTTTAGTTTTAAGATGTTTTATATAGTGAACAAGAATCCTCGGCTCTGTAAAGTTAATTCAATCAAATAAATTAATGAACAAAAAAAGTAGTATATGCCAATCGATTCTTATAAGTTTCAGAAGCCAAAAACCGTTTCTTCATAAAGTTTCAGAATCCGAAAATCGTTCGCAATAATCTTAGAAACCGAGAAATGTTTGTTATAAGTTGAAGAAGCCAGTAAGTGGAAAAACAGATAAATATATTTTTCATCAACAACTATCCTAAATTGAAGTAGATTCAATGTTTTAAATCAGCCCAAAAATGACGGGAAACAATTAATTGTCCATAATATTTCGACTTCTTTGCACCTATAATAGAATCCAATTCGTACCAACTATTATAGGAACCAAAGTTAGCACCAACCCAGGACCACATCCGACAAGTCTTATCGAGTTCTCAGAACCACATTGGTAACATCTGGACATGTTCCTGATACCTCCTTTGAGGTTGGCCCATCATGAATGACCCATCACATATGACGGATTCCACGCCAAAACGGTCGGTCAACGAACTTCGATCTGGATGACATTTGGCACATGTTTTCGGTATGATAGACCGAGTATTTTACGCAGGTGAGAAAACCATTTTGACTATGATTTAAACTGATTTCTAAAATCTTATTCTTTTTTTTTATTGGGTATCAAGCTGGAGCTGCGTGACAGCTTAGTTTTCAAGACTTGACCCATTTGAATAAATGTTGCTTCTATCTTTGACAATACAGCAGAAGGGCTAGCCTATGTTGGCAGCTTGAACACTGGATTCCGTGTGTATTGTTTCAAGATAGTTATGGAAAAAATGCTGTGACGTGTGCGCGTAGTAAACGGATTGAATAAATAAATCCGTTTCGAACGAAATATCTAAATTATGTATGTTACGAAAACCGCGCGAATTCCGAAAGCCGTGCGAGACAACCGAAACGAGAAAAAAGGCTTGTTATCATTTAAAGAGAGCCACCAAAATGAATGTGATAGCCTATGTTGACAAGTTGATTAATGTTGGTTTCCTCCCTAGATATTCTACTTATTTACTACTGAGCTTGGTATCAAATTAGTTCATTTAAAGAACGTATCAATCATTTCAAGATTTCGCGACCGCACCGAACAAATTCTATACTACATAAGCTCAAAAGCGTTTGACAAGCTCTACCGAATTGCGTATCACTTCTGCGTAAGCTCCGTAGACGTAGGCGCGTTGATTCTAACAGCCGCGAAAAGTTAAACCTGCATCAATACCACATAAGGAAAGATCGATTTTACGTAGGGTTTAGTTCATAGATTAACATTGACTGCTGTTTACAAATGTAAGTACTTGAATACTAAGAAATAAGTTAACTCAAATGCTTTAACCGCATATATAAGAGATTTCGCGTATTGAGAGAATAATATAGTTATCGAGTACAATAAACTCAGGGCAAAACAATACCTACAAAAGATTAAAAGTTATCAATTGTCACATACATTGTTTAACATTGTTCCCTGAGTAATACCTCAATGAAAACAACAATGAAAGCTTGTCACGCAAGTAGAAGGAGCTTGTTGGGCACTTTCTGAAATATTTCAATACGAAACAAACAAATCTATCTGCGTAACAAAAATAAGAGTGATTTGCGGCAAAACCCGCCAGTATCGCACCCAACGTCAGTACCTATAAGTAAGCGTACTACAACGCGGCTCTCAAACAAAGGAGTAACAAGTGTAATACTGTCACTGCTAGACTAGATCTTTGGTTTTCTCATGTAGTGGTTCATCAGAGAGGGGAAAGGGGAAGCTTAGTAATCCCCATCGCCTGCCCATGGCGCCATTCTATCGCGGTATGACCCAGCAACGCCGGCCATAAACCTACCGTCTCCAACACTTCACCATAAAGCATGAAGTTAAGCATTTTGGCGTTGTGCATGCAATTCATGAAATGTGTAGAAAGAGAGAACTCATAAGAAAGTTACAATCCTGACATAAGCTGTCCGAATAGAATTCCTCAAAGTTGCTCGCCGAGGGAGAACCGCTCTGCTAAACTAAATTGTCAACCAGTCTAACATGGATACACACGACTCCCATTATCTCTTCAATCAAAGAACTACCCAAGCAGCACATGGCTAGTTATGCTCACTAACATCAGCTGGAAGAGACGCTGAAGCAGCATGGTATGGTAACCTCTTATTGATTCACTCTCTCAAGTCTACCGTATGCGGTAGGTAGTTAATGTATGTCGATAGAAGACCACCATTCTCAAGGCAGCCACAGTCAACCAAGCAACACAAACGTTAGGCTCGATTTCTCTTGCCTTCGTATTTTGGTTCTGCGTTGTGGTGTGTTGGTCGGGTGGTTGGCACCGTTTGTTTGACTGGTTGAATTCGGTTAGTCTAGAGCTGACTGCCGGGTCGATTGGATCTGAAATTCGCGAATGCGCGTCGTCGGGATTGCTTGATCAGGACTCTCCTGTATTGTCGTAGTGAACGGGGACGAACTAGTGGGCGCATTTTGCTTCAGACAGGCTGCAGATTTCGAAGGAAGACAACGACGAAGGCTTCGTACGGTGCAGTTCCAGTTCGACAGTGTTCTGAATGGTAAATACAGGATGATGACCTACAACCGGTTTCTTATACGCAAGTGAAAAGTATACAAACGTGAATTGAAATGTGTTGATCATAGTGATGCTTCCTGATTCGATTTCGAAGGGTTTGAGGGACAGTTCTAAAGAAGAGATTCAAAAATATCGCGTTCGAGCGTCTACTTTGAGGAAACACAAACCTGCTGAATGGCTTGGCTATGACATAACTTTGGTACTGTTGCAATTTAGTTTGCAAGAAATTGAGCACATATAGAAGGAAAAAAACACTTGCTAAGCTTGGTATACTGACTAACCAACCGATCTGTGTTTCTTGCTCTCTGTGTTTTGCTCGCTTAGTTGTTGCTTAGTAGCACAACGCACACGTATAGTCGGTTCAGTGAATGGTGGTTCTTGTGGTTGAAATGAAACCGCCATTTAAGGCACGTTTCGCGTGGTTTAAACCACTTTCAGCTATGGCATTTTTTGGCGAAAGTGTGACACACAACCCTTTAAACCCAGTTATGTAATAAATCCTTAAATTACAAAAGAGACTCTATGGATAAACTTAAAAACTCTGTTCTTGAAGAGCAATTTCTCAGCTATGACTTGTTAACCGAAGTTCAGTGATACAATTTATTACTTATTGATTTAAGCTGTGTTCCATTTGCCGACCCGGAGCTTGAAAATAAGTTGCGTTGTCAACCGACCAATTGCCGAACCAAGGTCAGCGAGGGTCGTTTAAAACTAACTGTATTGACTTTCAAAAATAAACACGCATGGTTATTCAATAGCTTTCAATCTGTCCAAGTGCAGTGTCCTCGAAATCTTAAGGCAGCAGTGAACCGTTCAAATGGGTAACTTGCAACTCAAAGACGCCGTCACCTTGTTCACGTTTAGTAACTTGATGACCCCTGCATTTTAAAACAATATTTATAAACACACACTCAGATGAGATAACATGTACCAGGCAACGAAAATTAAGTGATGTGAACTTATTTAGCAAAACTTTTCCAAGATATGTTCAGGAAAACTTAAGACAAACTGGAGAACTCTGACCAATCTGGACTCAACTTAATTCAGAGTCACAAATCCCAATCCACTTAGTAAGAAACAACAGCGACAAATTCAATTCATGGCCAAAAAGTTACCATAGTAACGTCAACAAACGTTGTTCGGATCTCACGTTCAGCAACGAAAGACCTTCACGGCTTGAATTTCTAGTCGGCGTGTGTTGAATCGCCGTCCGAATCTATCCTTGCTCCGCTGGATCCGCGCAACGTTTAGGTAGACCTCGACGATTAGAAGGTGATGCATCGTTGCGTTTAATCCGGACATCAGGAAAACTCCGTCACCTTTTTCGGCTGATGCAGATGTCTTCGATTTGTTTTTCGGTATGTTCATCACGGGAGAGCACTTGACTTTCTTTGCCAGTTTAGTTCTTGATGTCGCCCTTCGGAACTACACCCGTGATGGCATTCAGTTGATTGTGAAAAATGCTTTTCCACGGTCGAGTCGATCTCATCAGTCGTGTCCTGCGCATAAAATTGAATTATTGTGAGGTTTTGGACCCGTGTTCTGAATCTGGCAACGATCATCAACTCATTAAGTGGCTCCCATTGTATGAACGCAGCATGAACATGTACGCTAAGCTGGAAAGCAACTCTACGGTGTCTGAAGCGTTTTCACCTCTAATACAATAATATAACCATAGTGTTTCCAAAAATCAAGTTTCCAGATGCCCGGGAATCCGTTTCAATTTCCCGGGGAGCAATTTTATAAGGATGTTTGGCTGAAATTGCAAGAAATTTCTCAGAAATGTCAAAATAAACTTCTAAGCTTCTTTCAAACTAAGTGAAATAATTCCAGAGGAGTCTGAGCATCTTTTTAGAGAATAAGGACGAGTGTTCTGTTCCAGAAAATTCGGAAGAATTTTCCGAGGGAAGCCAGAAGAAATTTTCGGGAGAACCTGAGAAATCATTCCCGGGAAATTGGCCAAAAATCACGTTTCCTGATTCCCAGGAATCCATTCTTATTTTCCGGGAAACAGTTTTAGAAGGATTTTTGGGTGAAAGTTACAAGAAATTGCAAAGAGGAGTCAAAATAAACTTCTAACGAGAAAATTTCGAATAAACTTCCAGAGGAGTTTGAAGAAATTTCTAGAGAAGTCTGAAGATCTTCTAAGGGTTAGGCTAGGTTTCTTTATTATCTTCTAGGGAATAAGGTAGAGTGTTCTAGGAAAAGTCGGAGGTAAAATTTCCGAGGGAAGCAGGAATACATTTTCGGGGGAGGCCAGGAAAACTTCTGGGAAAGTCAGAAAACATTTCCATGCGAAGCAAAAAAGTAAAGTTTAAAATGCTTACAAAAGAAGCTATCGTAGAAGCCAGAAGGACTTATGAAAGAAGCTTCAGATGAAATCAGACGAAAATGTTTGGGAAAGTTTGAAGATAATAATTCCTGCAGAAAATGTCTTCGGAAATATCTTCTGGATAAAAAAAAAGTCTAAAGAGTAGTCGAAAACAAATATCCGAAAGAAGTTGGAAGAATATTCGGACGCAGCTCGGAAAGTGTTTCCGATGTAAGCAACTTCTCTGAACTCAAATATTTCACGATTCCTGGGAATTCCCTGGTCACTTCCTCTGGAGTATCCGAAATATGTCCGCATGTGGACAATGTTGCCCTGGGTATTCGAAATCATAACCAATGAATGTTTTGTTTTCGAATTCTGATGTTATTTGATATGCGGGATTCCATCAAATCTGAAATCGTGCCCGACCATCATCGATTAGGATAAAACTGGGCACATTTGATGGATCAAGTATTTTCCGCAGGTAAAAATACTATTTTCTGTGTCTTGAGCCTGGAAATTGATATCCAATATGGTGACCATTGGGTTCAGAAAAAGTGGGAAATACTGTCAAATACCCATTAATATGGGTATTTTTGGAATCGGAGTGATCTCTAGAGGCTATAAATTACTATCCGACGCCATTTTGAAATTAAAAGCAAAGTAATTCAACAAAATTTGAAACTTTTTCGAAGACTGGCGCTTTATTTCATTTAGTTCTAGCTGATTTAATGTTTGTATGTACTAGTTACAGCGCGGAAGGGACCGCACTAGGTCATTGTATGTCAGTGCATTATAATTTTATTATTTAGTGAGCTACATAAGGTCCGACAAACGTACAAAAACGTCCGCGATGTTAACCTTTAAATCCCCAAACTTTTCACTCTGATAATTTTAAATTGCACTCATTCCGTCATTTTTTGATCGATTTTTATGAAACAACTTCAAATCGGTCAGGAATTGTTCCTTGCTTTCGATTTTTTTTTCGCATAACTTCTAAAATATAGATAGCGATTTTGACATATTCGTAAAAGTATTAAAGGGTGGAACGGTCAAAAATTGGTCAGTCATGATTAAGTGCACACTGCTTGTTCTGAGGCTTAACATCTCTGATCACGCCTTGTTTTCCGTGCTGAGCACCAATGCTGCCGACGCCAGGGAATCAGCTCCTACACCTGGACCCTACCTATCGACCCATCAACTCATGAACCGGGGACCAACGGCTTTACTTCCCTTCCGAAAGGAAGGCGTGATCAGAGATGTTATGCCTCAGAACATCCCGGCGGCGCCGACTGGGATTGAACCCAGACCTGCTGGGGTGAGAGGTAATCACGCTTACCACTACACCACCGGCGCCGCTAGGGGTATTTGACAGTATTTCTCACTTATCTTAAACCGGAAGCCGCCATGTTGGATTTCAATCTCTAGACGTCACCCCGATTCCAAAAACACCCATATCGATGGGTCGGCGTCAGTATTTCCCACTTTTTTCTAAAATCGGAATGCGACACTCGTGCTGTTATTTTCAGTTTCTATAGATCAGTTGATCAGTACATGGGTTCGAACCTCACATTTTATTTTCCTTCTGACCCTTTTAATTTCACACCGGACAAAAAGTGACGGCAATAGATGGAAACGAATGGAAGCCAAAACAGACCACCCGACAATGATAAATTTGACATCCGCGTGCACAGATCTAAATGAACTGAGTGAACAATCAACAAAAGTCAGAAAACAGCTTCACTTCAATGCGAAAGTAAGTTCATTTGGCAATGAAAGGCGAAATGAACACGAGTCAAGCCAAAACAAAAAGCATGGAAATTGATCGAAAGTGGTTCTGCTTATGTTGAAGGAGATCTGCTCGAAGATAAAACAGAATGACATTCAATTGAAAGCGATGGTTGACAGCTTCGTCGTCACTTGACGATTTTCTATTGAAAATAACTTTGTTGGGTCCTGGATGCAAGTTATTCCGATCGTCATCTATTCGCATGGGTGGTCTGTTTTTAGACTGTTTTTGACAATGCTTTATGAATTCAGTCGTTGATGTTACCGGTTGAGCCAGACGTGCTAGATCTTCTAAAAAAGTAAATTTTGCTAAAATCAAATCGACTTCCCTTCGGTCGTTAACATCGCTTGAATTTTTCATACGGCTTCGTCTTCCTTGTGATAAATTTGGTTTTTATTCGTTATGAGGATCCATCTAAGTTCAATTAGTAAACGGAATAATTGAGGATTTTAATTTGTTGTTGTTGCTGTTTATTATTGACATTTTACATCCTGCGGATGCATTCATGTCAGTAGAATTGATTTTTGTGTAAACAGTGTGTGGGTGTGTTCAGAGTGATGTGAGGGTGAGTGTTAGTGTTTACGATACAATTCAAAATTCACTTAGCTTTCTTATCGTTTGCTCGTTTCCTGGTTCATCGTCTGCATGCTCATCTCATGGTTTACACTTCTTCTCCATAAATTTCTTCTTTACTTCTTCTATATATATATTCACCATCTTCATTCTTCATGATCTTCCATATATCTTTTCCACATTATTTTTCGATTTCTCCGTTCCTTCCTTGCGCTTCATATTTATCTTTATTCTTCTGCATCTTCATACTCATTCATGTCTTCTGTAGTACTTTCGTTTTCTGCTTCATCTTCATCCTTTTTCACTTTAT